AGAAGCGGAGTCCAGCCCAGGGTCGTCACATGTGGTTGCCGCAAGCCCTCTGGACGCTCCTTCATCGAATCCGCCAGCCGCGCCGTTCTCAAGCCCGCCCACCGCCACTCACTCAAGCCGGCCTACGCTCACTCTAGCCCGCCCGCCGTCGCTCACTCTAGCCCGCCGCCCTCCGCTCACTCTAGCCCGCCGCCCTCCGCTCACTCTAGTCCACCGTGTGTTTCGTTGTGAAAGCGAAACTACTTTGTTTGGCCTTCCAAAAGAGGACAAAATGTGTTTTTTTAACCTTAAACCGCATAAACACATTTCATTACACCAAATACACAAAATAATGGTCTTTTTAGCAACATCATATGACCCCTTTAAAAGCGGACATTGACAAGCTTGTTGGGTCAATGTGAACATGACGGTTATGTTTCCAACATTCTAAGTACAACAGCCAAATGTATAATGTTTAAAGTGTTGGCGTTTGTTGGGTCAGTGTGAACACAGTGTAAAGTCATTACTGACATTGCTGCAGAAATAACAGCTTTAAGATGTAAATATTTAGGTCTTTAGTGAACACTGTTGCTATGCAGCTTCTGTAGTCTAAACTTCACCAGTCTAAACCTCACGGAGTGCTGAAGCTCAAATTATTGGTTGGATTAGCTAAACACGGCCTCACTGGGGCTAGAATGACTGCCCAGTGAACATGCTTTAAAGGGACAGTACGCTTAAAAACAATATTCAGTCATTATTTACTCCAAACCTGTATGAGTTTTTTTTTCTTTAGCTCAACATAAAAGAAGATATTTTGAAGAATGTTGGTCGTCAAACAGTTGCCGGTAGCCATTGACTTCCATAGTATGGAAACAAATACTGTGGAAGTCAATGGCTACCGGCAACTGTTTGTTTACCAACATTCTTCAAAATATCTTCTTTTGTGTTCAGCAGAAGAAAGGTTTGCAACAACACGAGGGTGAATAAATGATGACAGAATGTTGATTTTTGGGTGAACTGTCCCTTTAACTGATTATCAGAGGAAGAGATGTCATAGCTCAAGCATGTATGTTCACTTGTGTCGTCGCCCCCCTCTCAGAAGCCCCTCCATCCACGCTGTTCCTCATCCCTCTCATGCCTGGGTGAAGAACAGTAACACCAGACGCAGCTGTGGATGACTAACTGCCTTGATCCAAATAAAATTCAGACTTTCGTTTGGAGCCATCCATATGAGCATGAGTATGTTCGGAGATTTAGGGACAGAGAAACAGACTCTAATAATCCCCCTGAAACATTATTAGATCTTTTTATTGATACAATATTGAGCTGGAGCATAGCCGAAGGAAATGCTGTAAAAGCAAAGCCCTGCATGTACCCAGGGGTGTAAGAACCATCTGAGAAGTGGAGGGGGGAACATTATAAACCTTATCAACTTGGCAATTTACCATTCATTGAGTAATCCTACAGTTAGCTGCTTTGCTGGTAAGTCTGTGTCACTTAGAGTAGAGTTACTGCTTACTGTATTTGTCCATTTGACAACCAGTTGGTAGAGGATCCTGATTTTTTCTTAAAATGGTCATTTCATGTGACTGGCTACAAATCATTTTTCTGCACCTTGGCCAAGACGGGGTTTTTATTGTTAACTTAAAAAAAAAATACTTTAAATGAAATAAATAAATAACCAAGGCAACATTTATCATTTTCATTTAGTTAAAGCCGCAGTCCATAAGTTTTGCCTCTTTGTCGCCATCTCTGTTTGAAAACCTGCAATTGCAGCTGTTTGCGGAATTATCTTCCTTGCGTGGGTTGTGTGGCAGCACGGCTCCAGCCTCACAGATTCTAGCCTACGTCTTGGAATATATGACTCAAATAAGCATTTTCACCAGATATTGTCATCTGAACAAGTAAGTAACAAGTCTGCCACGTTTGTTCTGACCAACTGGGGAAAAAAGCATTATAATAAATCGCGCTACCAATGGTGATTAAGAATCTAAATTAGCTCATATCATATCAAACCGTGCAAATTATTATTATTGTTATACTTTATTCTCTAATTGTTAATGTTAACAACATCAGCATTGCGTGACTATGAGTATAGTGTGTATAAGCGAGTAGATTTCAATTTCTGTACAGTCTAATCTCTAATTGTCATACCACTCGAATTTCATATTAAGAAATTCTTTTAACCTAAAAAGCGGCAATTATCTGCACCTCAGCATTGTAATACATTATAAAACAGTATGCAATAATAACTTATTGAGTGTAAATTTTAATTTTAATTCAAATGATTAAATGGATGCCACCTTATTGACAATAAAGCCCTCCCTACACCTACCCTAACCCTACCTGATACTTTATTTTCAACTTTTTTATTATTTCCTTTCAAAATAAATGAATAGTAAAATAAATGCTTTTCTGATGTGATTTAAAATTGGAAATGGGAGAAAAAAGTTCGCCAAAAGGCGGATTCGAACCCGGGTCGATCGCGTCAAAATGAGTACGACACACGTTATACCATCTGCACCACTGGAACTGACAACTGCTAACTGTCTTTTATAATGTTGACTAGCCGAATCACACGTTGGTGGGCGGGGTTAGTGTAAATAGCCTCTGCCAACAAGGCGGGCTATTTGCACTTAGTGTAAATAGACACTCCGCTAATTATTCTGGCTGCTGTGAGAAAAGGCTAAACGATCGGCAACCTGCAGGATCCTCACATGCGATAGCCTAGTTGCCGGGTCAACTTCTTTATGTTTACAGAAGTGACGTAATGACGCAGCAGCATGCTCGAATTTCCCGCGAAAACCTACCCGTTATAGCAAGCTGATTGAGATATGTCCTGATTATGTGTACGTGTCTAACCAAAGTCATAGAAGGCTCCAACTATGAAGGACGTATAGACACACAGAAAGTTAGTTTGCTATGCAAAACTATTATCCAATCATAGCAGTGGGCGTTTACTTCCAAGTCTTCAATGCGGCACACCCATAAAAACCGAGCGTTTCTCGAGCCGGCCTCAAAACCAGGGTAGAAAATAGCCTATTATTGATTTTGATGTTTTTTAATGTAAAAACCACGCAAACGTCATAAGTGGACCTCAGACAACAGTATAAAATAATAATTTTAAAAAAGCCAGTTCATGACCCCTGTAAAGATATGGCAGCAAAAGTACACAGCTTGCTTTAAGGTCAGCGAGAGGATGGAAAATGCTCATGAAAAACAAAATTACGGCTATTTGTAGCATCCTAAGTGGACCTCAGGGATGAAAACTATGTATAAACCAAAAAAGAAGTATGGTTCGACCAAAAGAAAACCGTATACGTTTATATTCTAGAGGAAAGTGAGGTGATTGGCCGTGGTTTACTGGAGGTGACAGAACTGTGAATAGTTGAAGCCGTGAGGTCGGGATGATCATCTCCTCCAGTCAACTGCTGAGTGTGTGACCTGGAGAGAGAGCAAAGGCTAGACCGAAGATCCAAACAAACGCGGGTGGCACACACACAGCATGGGAAAGAGGGAGGGGAGAGGTGCCGAGGAAAAGGGAGGGGCCGGAGAAGGAGGCGGGAGGGAACAAAATAAGGGAAAGAGTTACTCTGCGAGTGGGAGAAGGAAGAAAGCTGCGGTCCGCTTGAGTTTGACGCCAGGCATGCGGCATCCTAGGCACAGCACGGAACCAAAATAGAGCCGGGAACGTGGGGCGCGCTTCAGGAAAAGGGGACTGCAAGAAGAAAGGAAGCGTTAATTCCCAACCATGAATCCCAGCAGCTCTCTACGGAGGCGTTTGTCCTCCCTTCGCGATGCTTGGAGGTGGAGTACAGGTTACCTGTTCAAGGTAGGCTTTCGAGTTTCCGCCGAACTTTCTCTCTTTTCCGGATTGTAGGTCTTGTAGGCAACTTTTTCCTCAAAGCTCTCCCTTGCTTTCTTCCCTGCGCTCTCTGATTGTTCATTTGTCGGGCCCGCTCGAAAGCAGCGTTTCCAGCTGGTTTTGATCAAGCCTGGCTGAGACCCCCTCCAACCCCCCACCCACCCTTTCTTGGCTGTCCTTCTGGGGGTCGCAATTATCGGCTGATTAAGGGAATGTTTTTGGAGCCGGGCACCGTGTGGCGAGAGATGGAAGGTGGACCCTGTGGATGGATAGAGGGGGTTTGCAATGCCAGGGTGTTTTATTCGAGTGTGTCACAATGGCTTTCTCAGGCTATAAGTTAGTGACTTTGCAGTCTGTCTTAGTATGGCATATTTGTATTTCCTTGTGTTTTATGATTGTTCATAATGGCCTGGCCCAGTAATCTATACACACAAAAGTTTGTTAGACTAAAAAATGTGTTAATGGTCTTTTACAGTCTGTTCATTGAAAGCTCGATTGGCCTCTAAATACTATATACTAATACTATATACTATATATAAACAATATTGTAGTAGATTTCTCTGGATTCTCGGAAATGAGGATTATAGGAAACTAACGCTGTGGGAACATTTAATTTAATGAATGCTCTTTAAATGGACAGATCACCCAACAATAAAAATTATGTTACTCGCTCTCATGTCGTTTCAAACCCGTTTGACTTGCATTCTTCTGTGGAAAAAATATATTTTAGATTGGTGTTTTTGTGCATACATTGAAAGACAGTGGGAGACAGTGTTGTTTTTGACCCCATTGACTTTGGACAAAAACACAGACACATTCTTAAAGATATATATATATTTTTTTGTTCTGCAGAAGAAACAAAAAAGTAATTCAGGTTTGGAATGACATGAGGGTGAGTAAATGATGACAGAATTTCAATTCAGGCAGACTGTTCCTTTAAGTGCTTAGAGAATTCATTAAATAAAATGTGCAGGCTTCCCACGGTCAGTGTTGTAATATCCAGACAGGGAAATGTCATGGAAATTAGGTGATGTGTGCACAATTATTGATGGTTTCTGTTTTGTTTTGGCTTTTGGATCTTGACAAGTCCAACACAGCAGCATTGGCCAATGGCATGAGTTTGGGGCGGGACTATCTGTTTGCTAACCAATGGCAAATTGGCTCAGGAAACTGTTTGAAAACAGTCATTTTGCTGTGCCATTGCCTTTTTAAAATGTATTTATTTATTTATTTTTTGAATACAATTCTGAATGGGTTTTGTTTGACAGTATGTTCTTGGTAATTTCTATAGTCAATTAAGTTTTATGCACTGTTTTAAAATTTTTATTCTGTTAGCTATCACTCATTAAGCAATTTCCAAGTTCCCAGTAAATTCCCCAGATTCAAACCTCAGTATGTTGTTTTCTTATTGGAGACATTTGAACTTGAAGTTTTCCCATCATTTCATTTACAATAAGTTGTTCTATACTTTTCTAAGACTGCGACATATGGGAAACCACATGCAAAGTCCATACAGTTTCTAGAAAAGGCCCCAGCACTGTTTGTAATTATATGTTGGATTCTGGGTTTTCTTAGTAAGCATTGTTCCTTTTTAGTCATGCACTAGTATGTCATTTAGACGGTGAGCGTAAACCACACATCTTTTAAGGCTTATCCTTCTTTTGTGAGACCAATAACACTTTAACTTATATTAGTTAAGTCTCTAAATGTCATTTTACAGGTAAAAGTGTATTTTTGTCCCACTACCATCACCAAACCAAGTATTGTGCTGAAATTACACACCTTTCAGCATCTCCTGTGTGAAATCCATATAATTTAATTCCCTCACTTTACAGGCTGTCATTGCATTTACAGTATATACAGCTAAGAGGACATGCTCAGTGTTAGATACAGACCTACACGGTCACATCAGCTCTCTTCAATCTGTATCAACACAGTTTTACATACGGATAAACACAAACCAAAAGTAACTGTCCAAACAAATGGCCTTTTCATTGGTGTAATCAGCAGAACAGCCTGAGCTCTGGAGATGAACGGTAAACCTCCCCTGTGGATAACTGGTTTACGGTCATTTTTAAACAGGAAATGGGCTAAAAACATCTGGAAACTGTTGTATTTGTGAGATCATTATTAGTGATAGACCACTTTATCAGTTAGGCTGAATAATTGGACATTATTTGGTAATTTTGAGATGATCTGCATAAGATGAATAGAGGTTTTGCTGTATGATGTGTCAGTTCCAAAATCGATGTATTTTTAAAGAGAATTTTAAGCAAATATTGCATTAAATCTTTATGGTAAAAACTTTATGGTCATTAAATTGTTTTGTGAATATACTGACATTATATCAGCCATAAAAAATGATTTTTAAAATGTATACTGTAAGATTAAAGGTTAAGTTTTGAGAATCTTCCATTGACTTACATTGATAGAATGTTCGGCATTTAGAACTGCATGCAATTCCGATCTTGTCTTGCATCTATATTTAGACATATATATACACATTTACGCTGCATAGACATCCATGTGTGTTTTGCACTGTGTGCTGATTCTCATACATAACTAACAGAAAACAATGGGACATTGGCTCTGATGCCCTAAAACTTTACCTCTGTTTTTGTCTGACTGATGCTTCGTTCATGAAGTGTAAATCTAGTTCATACACTGGCTTTCCTCAACTACATTTTCATGATCCTAACGAGAGTTTTCTTTTTTTTTAGGGCTCAACCAAATCCTCCAAGAGCATGGAGTCTCGACGCAGACCATCCAGGTAAGAGATGTCTTTGTCTTCATCAGAAATCAGTGCAGTCAATATCTCATGTGTTGCTACAGTATGCATTGCTGTAATGAACATCTCAAGGGATCTTCATAGCATTCTGAAATCCAGCACCAGTTGACATTTGACTCTGCTTGGATCAGTCTCACATTCTTTATTGCAGTTTATGAGTACGACGAATAAACACTCTTTAATGCATCTATACAATCTCCAGGGATAAGTTATGATGTCCTAATAGGGCTTCTCTCCCTCATATAGTATATTAGATCAATAATGGCACAGTTATCTTGAGTGATAGTTTGCTATAGATACAGGCAGTAAAGGAGGCACTGAAAAACAAATCCTTGTTACAATATTTTTGCGTTCAGTTCTATTAGGAAAATTAAGAATATATCCAACGGAATAGGCTATTTAGAAAGAAAAACAATCTATGTCACATCAAATAAAAGAAAAAAAGGCAATATTAGTAAAATAAGCTAAAATAATACCAAACAATTCAACCAATACATGGTGACTCTTTTGTAAGTGCAAAAATCACACAAAAATTTTAAGGATTGTTTATCTTTCTAAAAATAGCTATATATATATATATATATATATACAGGGTGCGATTTGTGAAAAAAGCAGAGGGGGGGATGATTTTGAACACTTTTTTCAGAGCAAGGCTTTAAAGTTTAATGTTAGTGTAATCTGTTAACAAAGCACATCATAAACCCGTCTTTTTAAACAAGTTCCAGATAATGTGTGTCATGTCACGAAATGTTTTTAATACGACTGAAACTGACTATTTAACGTGATCACAATTTAATAAAAACAAGCCGATTAATTAATTTCAACGGTTATTTAAACAACTAATAAATTATATAGGAAAGTGAGCAAAGAACATACATTTTACAGTATCAACGGAGCTTTTTGAAACTCCGAGTCAGTTAAACCATTGCGTCGCAAAATGATTAACTGTTTTGAATTGCTCAAATCGGATTGCGTATCACGAATCACTTGATTCAGATCGGGACTTCAAAGCGCGTATCGCGAATCATTTGATTCAGATCGGGACTTCGGCGCTGTTCACGGGATGTTTTTTATCCCCACCGGAGATAAAAAATAATTCAGCAGAGGCAGGGATACGTAGACCAGAGGGGGTACTTAATCTCAATTGATTGTTTAGATTATAAAAATATGTCCTTTTTATTTGGAACTCGATGGATGCAAACCAAAAGATAAGAGCAATCAAAACAAATGAAAGATTCGTCTCATGTTACATAACACTGGAGTTGATCTCTGATCCATTCTGATGGTCTTATTTCTCTCAGCTGTTCATGCCAGCTGTGAGAAGATGTTTTGTGAAATTCATCACTACAAATAGCTCCCATTTCAGCTACCAGGGGGAAGTTTTGCTTTTTATTTACATGGACTGCTATTTTATTTCTCTCGTTTTGGGAAACTCTCTTTTGGACACAGTCTTAAAACGAGATACTATTGGACCCTTTGATTTTCTGCCAAAAAGCGCATTCTTGTTTTCACTGGTAGATGGAGTTTGTGCAATAGATACTGTACTGTAGTTCAGTTCTGGAGAATGAATTGCACCTGCTGATAGCACTGTTTTATTTGCATGCGCTATCTGTGTTGTTTTAGCCAACTCAGGAATTATGCAAATCAGGTAACAGTGCAAACATGCCCACATAATCTATGAAAAGCATTTGAGATCCACACACCTAAAATCATCTACTCCTTTTACATTATTTGATCATCACTTAATGAATAACTACTTCCAATTTTAGTATAAAAGTAATAGACAAATAGACTTACATTAGGTGCTCTTTCAGGGCATTTAGAACCTGGTGAAGATGGAATATGGGTGGTTATTGAATAAGGTTAGTGAATATGTTTGTTTAAAAGTGAATGAACGCACAAACCTTATGGGCTTCCAAAATGATTGTGGGACCAGGGGAAATCCTTAATATTAAAGGATTGTTCAGGGATCATTACACCTTGTATTATGCACATTCTGAGATTAGCCAGAATCTCCTGAGAGTAGTGTAATGTTGTACTTGTTTTCCAAAACACTGTGGTGCAAGTACAATGTTCATATGTCATATACCACTCACGATCATGCGTTATTTACATTTCTTTCTCCAAAATGCACTGAATGCAAACTGCTTTTCGATTCAAATCAGCCGTAGAGAGATATACTTGATTTACTGTGGCTGCAATGCCTAGAAAACACAACAAATCCAGATTTTCAAGGCTAAAAATGGGCTTCACCAACAGGTATCTTTCCAAAAAGCTAGACTTCAAACACTAGTTCAAACACTTTGGCCCTGATTTGAATGCTCTCTTCCAAAACATAGTAAGCTGCCTTACTGTCTGCTCCCTACATAGGGAGTCGGCTTCTAAGGCAGAATCGTATACAAATAACTCTGCTCACTATTATATACAGTAAGCAAGCTCGTGATTTCAGTAAAGCTTGGTGGTAGCCTGTTGCGAAAATAACAATGTAAAACTAACTGTAAGAATATATTGGACATTGTACTGAATGAATATATAAATAACATAATAAAAATATAAATAATTACAGCAACAACAATAATAATAATAATTATTATTATTATATAAATTAAATATTTTTATATTTTATTTTTTGTGTATTTAATATAATATAATAATAATACATATACATATATATAGAGAGAGAGATGGAAAGAATGCAATATTTATTTACACACAAATATTAATTAATATGTATTGAATTCATATAAATAATACATATAAACATAATATAAACTGTAATATTGACACATTTTATATATATATATATATATATATATAATTTACTTTTATTTTTTTATTTTATTTATTCTAAACATTTTTTTTTAAATAATGCAGCGCTTGTCACAATGTACATTGTACATTTTTGAACCGTTTTAATTTCAGGAACACACTAAAACGCTGCCTACTTAGGAATCTCACTAGGTTTTGGAACAAAGCCCTAGATTAAAAGATGGCTGCACTTCTCTCTTATTGCCTTGAAATCCAGACCTGAGGAGAGAGTGAGGTCACAGATGGGGGGCCTGATTGTGGTTACATCCTTGGCAAGCTTATGCCTCACCAGTGACCAAATTGTTTTCTTTGGTCTGCCCTGCTGCACACAGGGAATGCAGGATATTTTCATATCTCTGTTGTTTATCTCTGCGATCAATCTTTCCCCACTATACTTTATTCAAGCCATACTGAACATCAGATATGCGTTTAATAGACTGTTCAGCGCTGACATGTTTGAGGTGAGGCATTCTTCTGAAAAAAACTTGATGGTTTCGTGATGTCATGTGCTGTGAGACACAAGACTTGCTTGTGCTTGAGCGAATGTTGTGAGTTCGATGCCTTCGATGTACACCAAGGGTTGTAGACATGAATTGTAAATGCTGAAGTTCTCTAACCATTCTCTGATCTTCTGGCTTTTGCAGGAGCTTGAGTCTGATCCAGGCCATGGAGGAAAACTATGAGGTGGACCTGGTCTACATCACAGAGCGCATCATTTCTGTGAGCTTCCCCAGTAATGTAGAAGAGCCGAGCTACAGCGCTAACATAAAGGAGGTCGCCACCATGCTACGCTCCAAACATGGTGACAACTACTTGGTGAGACCTCAAAACTCAATAGCTTTGAGTACTAATATAAGTGTTTTAGTAGTTGCAGTGCTATTACAGATTTTGAAAAAAAAGGTAAATAATAGTGAAAACATTTTATTTAGATTCATATAATTTATTTATTTTTATTTGTGTTATTTATTACTTTAATAAACTAAACATGACATTTTTACAGCTCTTCAACCTAAGTGAAAAGCGATATGATATCTCCAAGCTGAATCCCAAAGTAAGTAGTATTTACTTTCACTTTTTAACATGGAGATTTGTGTTCCTTTGTTCTTACTCGCACTCCGCTGTGTTTGTTTGCATAAGGTGCTGGATTTTGGCTGGCCGGACCATCACGCTCCAGCCCTGGATAAGATCTGCAGCATCTGCAAAGCCATGGACACTTGGATGAACGCTGACAGTCACAATGTGGTGGTCTTACACAATAAGGTACTGTTTCACTTGTGCTTTATTTTGCTTTGGGAATGGGAGCCATGTTTTTTGGTAACACTAGCAACAAACATCACAATGTCACACAGTATGTAATAAAAAACTAGTGAGATGGGCTTTAAAACATTATAAGTGCACTACTGATTTGAAGGCTGCTCCAAAAATGTATTCAGCAGACAATCCCATAATGCATCGAGGCCAAAAAATCCACCTAAGGTCATAAATAAATATATAAATGAATGTATATACAGTGGGTACGGAAAGTATTCAGACCCCCTTAAATTTTTCACTCTTTGTTATATTGCAGCCATTTGC